ACGACACGTTTGAGAGAGGCGGGGCATAGAGGACCTACAATAATGTACAGTATCTGAAAAATAATGTGTTTTTTGAACATTAAAGCATGTCAACATATTATACCAAATACACAAAATAATGATCTTTAAAATAGCATCATATGACCCATTTAAGAGCGTGAAATTCACTGTGAAATACACCACTGGTGCCTAGCTGTCAAAGGGCCTGTCGCCTGTACCAGTAAGAAACAGCTTATGAAACCTGTCCCATTCGCCTTATTAGAAATCAGCGTACCATCAAAATGATTTAGAAATTACTGTCAAGGTAAAAAAAAAAACTTTAATAAAAGCTATGTTTTATAAAAACTTAAAAGATGTTAGACACTTAATGCACAAAAATAATCTTATAAAATTCTTAAACTGGACGGTAGAGTACATAGTATAAGCGAATAGTGTACAGTGTCATTTGGGACACTGCTCTTGTTTGTAGCAAGCTATCAGGTTATGCTAAAATACTGAGGAGACGTCACAGCGACGTCATGCGGAACTCATAATATGATGTCCAAAATGCCGTTGTTTAGGTAGGTAGTTCACTAGGTTTGGAGACTAAACGTGCCACACACACACCTCTCTCATGTAGAGCAAATACATAGATTCGGCGATTTCCAGAAATCCTTGTGCTTTTTCGATCTCATCTCTTCCCGCCCACAAAATGCCGAGCTGATTCTGTCAAAAAAACACAATACGTACAGTCATCACACACCAAAGCGCAGAAGTCAACCACCAACAGTGCAACACTGCACATTTATTAAATTACACGAAGCTTTTAGGAGGAAGGGCTCGTGTATGCAGTGTATATTTACCCGGGCCTGTATGAATAACGAGACGTTCTCCCGTGTTGTTGTGCACTTGTCGATAAGTTTCATGCAGTTCATCAGATGCTGCTCTCCAGCTGACAGCTCCTCGGTCTCTATGTGGTTCACGCCGAGATAGTACTGCACCACCGCGAGCCTGGCCGCTCGCAGCCCGGCGGGAGAGTCTCCGGAACACGATTTCCCACATTCATCATTCTCCGGTTCTTCATCCACCATCTGCCTGGACTTACAGTCTGCTTCATTGTCAGCCTCGCCCTCCTCCTCGATTTGAATTTTTTTCAGTGAACAATGGATTTCCTTCAACAGATCTCTAGCTTTGTATTTCGATCGGAAAGGGTTGTTCTCAGGGTCTTTTCTCGATTCTACTTCGGAGAGCTCCTGGGCCAGGAGAAATTTCTCGCACACCGTCCTCCACTCTGAGCTCTGGTTGGCAGCCATGTTTTCTTCGAGGTATGACAAGTGTTCACCAGCAGAGGTCAGTCAACGACGCACAGGTTCTACTTTTAATAAACGAATACATTTACATATTTATAATAAATATTTTATTAAAAAGAAATATTTATTTAATATCACAATTATTCGGTTTTATGTTGCTAGCTATCATATTTTTATCATTAGCTTCTGATATGGCTGCTTATGGCATTGCATTTGATCAGTCACTGTCCCTTTCTCCCGTCCAGATACTCTGGCGCCATCTACAGGTCAAGCAGTGTATTTCACAGACATAAGCAGGCTTCTTGCACGTTGAGTTGGCGGATATAATAAGTTCAATCATTTTTTTTTTATACATTGGGCCTGTCCCAAAACCAACATTTGTGGTCTTTGAACTTGACCACTTGTCTACTTACATGACGTATTTCCTGTGTTTGACCCATATGTTCAGCTGCGCATGAAGATCGTAAGTGTGTGTAGAGACACACTCACAACATACAGTAGTGTTTTTAAAATGCGTTTTTACAGAGCTTTATTTATACATTTTGATTTTTCAATACTTTTACGCTTTAAAATAAACTCGTAGTCCCTATTGTAAAAGACAACACAAGTTAACTGTGGTGCTTCTAATTAAATTATAAAAAACAGTTGCACATGTTTTATAGCCTAACATACACATTCATATCTCTACACTAACAAAATGTGCAACACTTTATGTTTCACTGCCTAATTATATGTAAAATTGTACAATAATATATTAAAACAATGATATATCCCTACTGGCTGATTTTAGGTAAGACATAAAAATGTTTAACTAATAGATATATTAGCATGCTTTCTCAGTTGATAAATCACAGACAATTGTATTACATGTTTTCTGAAATATTATGTTTAAACTGGCAAATGAGGCATTATCAAAGTGAATTTGCTCTTATTTCCATACATTTCCAGAATAGAAGTTAAAATGTTATATAAACCAGGCAAATAATATATGAATAAACCTCTCTGTCAAAACCTTCAGAATATAGAAAGGAACCAAACTGCAAAGTTGTATGTAAATGCTACTGATGTGAAGATTTCTGATTTTGAGAAAATGGCCTTGAACTTTACAGGAACAAATAGATACAATAAGTAAAATAAAATAAACATTTTCTTTCTGGTATGAAAGAGATTTTGGAAGCAAAATAGCCCAAAATGTTTTTTTGGTCTTTTAGTCTGTCCATACTGGTGTGTAGGTGGTTTATCTCACTCTCATCAGTTGGCAGGTAAATTATGGTTTGAATTATGGGGTATGACCCACTTTCTCAAGGCCTGAACCTCCACAAACTGTCAAAACGATGGGTGGGTGGTACACCTTTTTACGTTTTTCATGTAAACATATAAACAGTGTTTTCAAAAGAGGTTTTAGTAACCGAAAAGGTTAGATTACAAGCTGATAAAGATTAGCCTACATAGTATCTTGGCGCTAAGAAAAATGAATGAAAAAATAGTCAAATGTCAACAATTCTTTTGCCTATGTGGTTGACACTTTTTGGATATATGGCTTGTTAGCCAACAAACACCAAATCGCAGTTGGGTTTTGTTGGATTAATGCTGGATTAGTACCTTGTTGGTGTTTATTAGGATAAAGTGAAAATGACATTTATGTTTCCCAACTTTATAAATCGAACAGTTAAGTCTCTCGACTTGCTGATGTTTAGATATGTTAATTCAAATGTCCACTGTCCATTTAAGAACATCCTTCCCATGTGGTCTCTACAAAGTGACACTTTTTTTCTTACACCCACAGTATGATTCTTGTTTTACATCACGATCTAAAGAAGAAGTTCATGATTGTTCTCTTAAGGGTACAACAGAGCAGAGAATAAAACCTTATAGGGTGAGTGACATTTGCAAAGGTTTCTGGTCATTTACCAAAACTCATAGAAATATTGTTTGTAGTCATAGAAATCATTATAGAAATGTTACCTATATTGCCTTGCATATTTAAAGTGTAGATACTGTGTGTCCTAATTTATCTCCACTTTATTCTCACAATTAATGTATGTTTCACTTCAACATTTTGCTGTAACCTGACTCAAATGTACCTGAAACGCTGCAAAGGCTGCAGAGTTTTAGTTCCTCCTTTTAGTTAATAGTGGGTAGAATAATGGCATTAATAGCAAGCTTTTAAATAAGAACTTTAATAGTTTTGCATTGTTTCTGTATTTGCCCACACAGAGTTAAATAAAGGCCCGTTAGAAAAGCAGTATAGTTTCACTGTTATTATCAGCTAGCAAACAGTGTTCATTTTTAGGGCTCAGAATCATCTAGTAAAATAATAATCTAAAACGGGGGGTTTAAACTGCACTGTAAAAAAAACAAAGCTGGCCTTTACAGTAAAAAAAAAAGGCTGCTGTGGTGTCCAGAATTTTAGCAACATTTCAAGTTTTAGATTGTAATTACACTTATTGTATATTTTATTAACTGAAATAATGTTAATATACAGTGGGTACGGAAAGTATTCAGACCCCCTTAAATTTTTCACTCTTTGTTATATTGCAGCCATTTGCTAAAATCATTTAAGTTAATTTCTTTTCCTCATTAATGTACACACAGCACCCCATATTGACAGAAGTTATAAAAAACATTCAATCACAATTCATGTGTCATGAAATAAAAAAATATTAGCTGTATGAAAGCTGGGGAGATTAGTTTGCATTGTTGGTATGGTAAAACCCACTTCCTTTGCAGTGCTGAACTGATGGTTAATCCAAGAGGGAGTTATGGGATATAACTAGGGGATATACAATTTTTATAAATTGTACAGGAATGTGAGTGGGACAATGATTCAGTGATGTGATGTAAACTGTAGGTCACCGGGAATACAGCTCAGTTTCACTCTTCATCTCTAGCCTACATAATAATCTAATAACTGACAGGTGAAGTCAGGCAGGCCAGTGCAGAATAAACGCCTACTACGCCCACTTTCCTTTGTGTCACGGAAAAGCAGATAGATATAAAGAGTCAAGAAGAGCCACAAACTACTGGAGTGATAAATAAGGGACATTTTCTGTAAGAGCAGAAAGGAAGTTTATTTGTGATAAGCTATCATTAAAATGATGTAATACCCAGACTCACTGAGATGCTTTCTTCAGCCGAGAGCGCACAAGGGTGTGAACTTGCACTGAACTTTCTCCAATTCATATTTTTCCCTCTGTAAATCTGTCTAGATCCATCCATCTATCAGATTACCGCACTTATGCAAGACATGTCTCTGGACATCATTAGGACATGTTGATGTCATTACAAACACTCCAGACTCATTGTTTTTGATATGTCTAAGAGTCAACTCTATCCCAGGGCAAACATAGTTCTCAAAGATCCTGTTTCTATACAAACAACCTTCTGTACCGTATTTGTTCAAGTTTAAAGATGATCAAATATTGACACTGAATAGTATAGATTTAAAATAAAATGTAAAAAATCACCCTTTAGTCAATTTTTTTTCCTGCGACTTCATAAAACCATCACCATAATCTAAAGTGATTACATAATTTATCAAATTACAGATATACAATTGCAAGAATAAAGGCTTTAGGACTGTGGAGGTGGGATAATTCAGTTAACGTCAAAGTAACATCTTAAATTAAGCATAGCTAGTTGGTTTTATAGCTTTATATGAATACAAACAAATAGACTGACATTTTACAACGTGTATTAAATCCCTGTGGAACATCATTTTACACATATAATGTTCAGGAAAAATGTGAACAGTGCTTATTCTGTTACCTTTTTTTGCAGGTTATATTTACATTTGGCCCAGCGATGTAAGACCACACTGGAAAACATTGTGTTTGTTCAATTAAGCATTAAAAATCCATGAGCTTATCTCTTAAGTAAAGGGGAGAACAGCATCACCGCAATTAAATCCCTGGGGTAAATAGTAAAATATGTATTCCTCTTAAAAGTACCAGCTGACTCTGTTAGCAAACAATTGCTTTATGCACTTTTAAAAGGGTAATTTATAGCAAGGGGTCTCCTTGGAATAAATACAGTAACTAGGCTAAAAACAGAGATATAGGCAAGCTGTGACAGGGTACTGAACCAGAACATTTCACAGCTAATGCTCAGATAAGACAAGGTTGACTTGTTGTGCTACTATATACACAGTATCTACTATGAGTATCAAGACGGTCAGTGCTAAAGTAAACAATTGAAGAGTCTGTGTTTTAGTGATAGCTATGATTTGTTTGGATTGTTAGAAGCAGGTGTTGAACTGTAGTTTATTCCATGCTGTATGTTTAAGACCACAGGGACAGAATGAACACATTGTGTGATGAACTTTATTAATAAATGAACTTTAGAAATTACAAAGAAGAGTAAAAAAATATTTATTAAGAATACAAATATTGAACTTGTCATATTGTCTCCTGATAGTCTCAGTTTCTTTTCAGTTCAGTCCCAGATCTTGGGAAGGTTCTCCAAGATTCTCCGTCGATGAGACGGGTTAGACACACCTGCTGCACACAGCTCCTCCTCTGTAATACCACTGCATGAGAAGAGAACACACAATGACATTTGGCAGCGTGTACTGTATATACAGTGGGTACGGAAAGTATTCAGACCCCCTTAAATTTTTCACTCTTTGTTATTATTGCAGCCATTTGTTAAAATCATTTAAGTTAATTTTTTTTCCTCATTAATGTACACATAGCACCCCATATTGACAGAAAAACACAGAATTGTTGACATTTTTGCAGATTTATTAAAAATGAAAAACTGAAATATCACATGGTCCTAAGTATTCGGACCCTTTGCTGTGACACTCATATATTTAACTCAGGTGCTGTCCATTTGTTCTGATCATCCTTGAGATGGTTCTACACCTTCATTTGAGTCCAGCTGTGTTTGATTATACTGATTGGACTTGATTAGGAAAGCCACACACCTGTCTATATAAGACCTTACAGCTCACAGTGCATGTCAGAGCAAATGAGAATCATGAGGTCAAAGGAATTGCCTGAAGAGCTCAGAGACAGAATTGTGGCAAGGCACAGATCTGGTCAAGGTTACAAAAAAATTTCTGCTGCACTTAAGGTTCCTAAGAGCACGGTGGCCTCCATAATCCTTAAATGGAAGACGTTTGGGATGACCAGAACCCTTCCTAGAGCTGGCTGTCCGGCCAAACTGAGCTATCGGGGGAGAAGAGCCTTGGTGAGAGAGGTAAAGAAGAACCCAAAGATCACTGTGGCTGAGCTCCAGAGATGCAGTCGGGAGATGGGAGAAAGTTGTAGAAAGTCAACCATCACTGCAGCCCTCCACCAGTTGGGGCTTTATGGCAGAGTGGCCCGACGGAAGCCTCTCCTCAGTTCAAGACACATGAAAGCCCGCATGGAGTTTGCTAAAAAACATCTGAAGGACTCCAAGATGGTGAGAAATAAGATTCTCTGGTCTGATGAGACTAAGATAGAACTTTTTGGCCTTAATTCTAAGCGGTATGTGTGGAGAAAACCAGGCACTGCTCATCACCTGTCCAATACAGTCCCAACAGTGAAGCATGGTGGTGGCAGCATCATGCTGTGGGGGTGTTTTTCAGCTGCAGGGACAGGACGACTGGTTGCAATCGAGGGAAAGATGAATGCGGCCAAGTACAGGGATATCCTGGATGAAAACCTTCTCCAGAGTGCTCAGGACCTCAGACTGGAACTAAGGTTTACCTTCCAACAAGACAATGACCCTAAGCACACAGCTAAAATAACGAAGGAGTGGCTTCTCAACAACTCTGTGACTGTTCTTGAATGGCCCAGCCAGAGCCCTGACTTAAACCCAATTGAGCATCTCTGGAGAGACCTAAAAATGGCTGTCCACCAACGTTTACCATCCAACCTGACAGAACTGGAGTGGATCTGCAAGAGGGAATGGCAGAGGATCCCCAAATCCATGTGTGAAAAACTTGTTGCATCTTTCCCAATAAGACTCATGGCTGTATTAGATCAAATGGGTGCTTCTACTAAATACTGAGCATTTTTCAGTTTTTCTTTTTTAATAAATCTGCAAAAATGTCAACAATTCTGTGTTTTTCTGTCAATATGGGGTGCTGTGTGTACATTAATGAGGAAAAAAAATTAACTTAAATGATTTTAGCAAATGGCTGCAATATAACAAAGAGTGAAAAATTTAAGGGGGTCTGAATACTTTCCGTACCCACTGTACCTAATTACGAAAATCTGTTTTGTATATTTAACATATGCTGATAAACACCATAATAACACAGGTGGTAAAGAGAAAGCCACATGATTAATCAAAGTTCACAAGTAGTTGAGGTAAATCCTAATATATATATATATATAGAAGGTGCAAGGTGTTATATGCACAAAATGAAAAACACCATAAAAGTAACACACAAGAAATAATGCAACACACAATAATTAAACAATATAACATGTACATAACTGATAAGAAACGTCTAAGAAACATAGCTATTTTAATGAAAAACCATCAAATGTGAGGTGTCACACAGAGATCTGGGAATGTCAGCTATATTTAACAGTATTTTACTGTTTTGACTGTAACATTTTTACAATATTTAACAGTCTACATTTATTTATTTGTGTGTTTTTCATTTTATTAATTTATTTTACAGTGTGGGGTTGAAATGAAATGAAATGAAACGCTGTTATGAATCATGAGAATGAATCCAGTGGTAAGCCTTGAGTTACTATGCTGTACACAAAGGTTGTGAATGGTCTGAGTGTGCTGGCTGTTTTACATATAAGCTACATTATAGTTTTACTTAACTTCTGTTTTTAACTTGTCTGGGAAATTTTCTGTCTGTTTTACAGGGTCACAACAGCCTACAGCAGCTCTGTCTGTGTGAGTTTAAGCAGTTGCAGTGTATTTTAGGAAGTGACGCTACCACCCACCATCAGGAAATGGACTGTTTCTTTTAGTAGATGTAAGTCATGAGCTGAAGGCAAATTGGTTTTATACCACAGTCATATACGCAGTGTATTTTCATCAGAAGCTATAGACCGAGAACGGAGGCTAACGGAAAGCCACTGTGGGAAGGTGCAGCCACTATACAGCACCTGAAGCAAGGCACTGTTTATTACGACCTGGGAGTCTTATCACAAGAAACAAGGTGAGTCATTTTTAAATAAACATCTCATTTATTGCTGTTAAAATGTTACGCTTGAACAAACAAAATCTTCTTGGTTTTTTGTTCTTTGGTTAAGAATTGTAGTTTTGAATTCATTTTAGAATTTCAATAGATTACTGACATAAAAATGTCGTATTTTTTGTTTTTGAAAATGATAGAGATGACATGATGCAAAATAAAAATTTTGCTGAAAGCGATAAGGAAGTTGAGAAAAAATCTTCCTGTATTTTTGCTTTAACATTCATTGACTTTGCGGGAAACAATAATAAAAGCTAACTTTGCATATGATATAAAGTTGCTTAATTGCATTTCCTTTCAGAGAATGAGTTTCTGTTTATATCTAAGTGTGTGGAACTCAATTCAGTCGATTGTGTTCAGAGGGGTACTGTTGATGTACTGTAGTAGTTTCATGAAAAGTGAATTCTCCTCTGACAGGTTACATCACAAACAGGACAGTCACACAAATGTGTAGATAGCATAAAATGTGAAATTTGTTGTTAATCATTTGAGTGACATACTAAACAGGCTTTGCACTGAAATGTATCTTTAACCGTATTTGATCACTACTGTACTGTTGATGTGGGTCATAGAAGATGTTTCATCATAGTTAGCAAGCCTGATTCATAAAATTCCATCCTTCATTCATATCATGTGTTTTCAAATTTTATTTGTACACAGACACTTTGTCAGAGTGCCATTTATAGAGCATTTTAGGAGACAAAAGATGACTAATTACAGTGTTGATGTATTTTTGGTTGACAAAACCAACTTATTGCTCAATCAACTTATGACAAAACGTGTCAAGCTCAATAATGTAGCCCCTGCAACATGGCTGGCATTCAGATCTTCACTAATTCATTAATTAGCAAATAAACAAGCTCTTTAGGGTGTACTTTGGTTAGATTTGAATGCAACAGTTCATTTAAATTGCACAGTTTTGCAGAAAAAACAATGTATTTGAGTTTTCTTAACATTTACGTAAACATTAAAAATAACTGTTCGAACAAAGATTATTGGAGTGTGTTTTATAATAAATTATAAAGTCTTTCTACTTTAAATTTCACATATAATTAAAAGTGTTTCTTGCCTTTTCTTTGTAAATATTTGTGAAATGTTTGCATTTTGAGGAAATTTCCGAGTGAAAATTGTTTCAAAGTAATTTTTTACAGTGCAACTTTTAATTTTGGTAGTTGATGAACCAAGAAATTATTTTAAATTCTTCTGTTCTATTTATTATCCATTTGCGTTGCAGAACAACCTGGATACTCCACAATGTGTGAGGTGTTAATTGTTCATACCAGTGAAGCCAGGGAATGGGCCGAGTATCTACAGCAAATCTTGGCGGCATCATGTAACTTTCCAGAGGGCTCTGTCATTCTGTATGATGTGAATGAAGAGATGTGGATGAAAAACCATGAGCTGTTTGGCTCCAGCAAATGCATCATGCTTTTGCTGTCTGATGCGTTGCTGGACATGCAGCAAGACCCAGAGGCGCAGGACACTTTCCGGGATCTTCTTCAGCCTCCATTCAAAGTTGTTGCCTTTTTGTGTGGTGTATCAGAAGGGCAAGTGCCAGTTGACTATTTTGAATACTGGGAGTATTGGAGAAAGCTCAATTCAGAAGACGAACCATCAGTATATGTGTCTACTGTCCTTGAGTGTATTAATAATGGTATGTATTCTTTAAACGGTATGTGCATTCAGCATAAGAACATATTAATTACTTGCACTATTGTTCACCTTTAATAACAACAACAACAACAATAATAATAATAATACAAAGATGGCCTAAAAAGATGTAAAACATTAACATGACTCCCCTGCAGACTGACAAACACTGCAAAAGAGTGCATATGAATATAATTTTATGAATATGTGTTGGATAAGATGTATATTTGTATTTTTTATTATTCTTATTTATTTTTATTATTCTTTTTTTTATGTACTATAAATAGTAATGCATGTTAATAATACATAATTATTAATCCTAGTACTTCAGTTGGCCTAAAATAATTATATTTCTGATGTCTATATATGTCTGAGCTCTGTGGTCAATTTAATTTTATTTAATCTAATTTTATTTTTTTGCATGAATATTTTTGCATGGTGGATCATAATTAATCTTACTAATCATGAAGAGGTCAGCCTGAAGTAAAGTTTAATATATCATTTTTCATTCTAGGATGTGTTAGTGAAAACCATTGCCAGAATCCATATGAAATTGAACTAGAAGAACGAATGAATGAGTTCACATTATCAGAGATTCCCGAGATTTTACCCGATGAGACGGAACAGATTCAGTTGAATGGGAATGATGTTTGTCATACTGAGCAAACTTCTTCAAATGCCACGGAGCCACAAGATGACCAAACTTGTCTCACCGTCCAACCAGACAGAATACTCTGTGGGGTAAGTGCAGTACATGCAGAGCCTAAATAAAAAAGCTTTTCTAAATATATATAGGCCTAGTTGTTAATGTCAGCATGAAGCTTACATGGTTTAAGATCACACTTCTTTGTGCTTTTTCAAATTAGACAGGAAGTCAGTGCAGGGCCCCTGTCTAACAGCCTTAATTTAGATAACATTCTTAATTTGGTGATATGTTGAAAGAAGGATGATGTAGCAGCGATGGGTGATAAACTGACTAAAACAATATCACAGCTGAATGAAGTTGCCATCTTCATAGACTACTTTTGTTTCTGCCCGTAGGGTGTTTTTACTAATCACTTAAATACTTTGCCGTGTAGTTTTGAATCATTCGATTTGATTATTTGTGAATATAATAAATTCAGTTATGCCTAATTTAATTTAATGGATGAAAATAAATTTTTATACAGTACACCACACTCGTGGTGTGGAGATTTCAGAATTTTAGTGTACATATGGCTTAAATAGTGTAAGTGTTGTTCATATTTTTAAAACTCTTTATCCTCTACTTTGTAAACTATTGTTACTTTTGAATTTTGTGAAATCAAAGAATTTTACACTGTAGCAAACTATAGCTTCAGCATTTCATTCAAAAGCATTTGCTGACATTTGCGGAATTAACATCAGACGTCTTGCGTTACTCTATGTCATTTACTGTATTTGACACGGTCTCGTGACTTTCTCACCATTTGTTTGTTCCCATAAAGAATCGTGTGAATATTTATATAATCACGGTAAAGAAAATTGTGGATGAGGGCAGACTGGAGGTGGAGTTTCACTCTCAATACTCGACACCTCAGCGGATGCCTGGGACTCTTGTAAATGAGTACATTGTTACTGTACAGTCACCTGGTAAGACAAAAACACAGAAAGAGGAACTTTTCATATAAGTTCCTCCATGCTTTTTCACTTTCTACTGAATTTACATATTGTTTCCTGTTAATGTGCTCCCTTATTATAAGAGAAGCTTTGTCTTTTTCAAATTTGTGTTTGGATTTGTCAGGGTTGTTTTCTAAAAAATATATTTTCTCTTAGATATGCCAGCTGGGAAAGTCTCATTGACTCTTTATCAAAATGAATCTGTGGTCTGTTCAACAACTGTAACATATTACACAGAAATGGAGGACATTTGCAGGTGTCTAAAGAAAGCAATGGATCCAATGCAGTTCATGTGTCAGGTAATGATGAAACAGAAAAACTGAATCACATAAACTGAAATGACTTGTTAATGAATGTGATAATGGAGTTATAATAAGACATGCCGTGCTTATTTGCATAGCACTTTTCAAAATATTAATAATTTCAAAGTAGCTTCACAGAAATGTTTCGTATATAATTATATAAAAAAAACGACACGTATTGGTGAAACATTATGGTGTTGTGAAAAATCAATTAATAAATTTTTAATATTATAATAAAATTAATCAATTAAATGATTTAACATTTTAAATATTATAATATGCTGTAATGTTATGTCAAATATCTGTGACAGTGTATCGGCCCCACAGGTGGTCTGATCTCATACAGATGCCTGAATAGCAACACACAGCCCTGAAATCAGTAATGCAAGATGCTTTATGTAATTTGTTGTTTAGTCAGTAACAATAAAAAACAAAAAGTCAATTTTAGACATTTAAAAAAATTGTGAGGCAACAGGAGCAGAAATAAACATTCATTAAATGTTAACATGCACGCCATAATGTTTGCCCCTTTTTAAAGTAGTTACAGGAAATTACCTTTAATTTAAAGACTAACACTGAGCCTTTTTTATTATTGTTTTATAATATTCAATTTTCAGGCATTTGATATCACATCAAAGGTGCCCGAGTCATTGGATAATTTGCTTGCAGACTCTCTGGAAGAACGGATGCCTCTAAATGGATTACAAGTATTTGGAATTAGTCAAATTGCAGATAACACACCAGCGGGTAAGTGATTTCATTCATAACAACTTGCTTGTGTTATAGTTTATAAAAGTCTCGCTTATGATGAATATCTTTCATGGTGGTAGATAACATAACACCAAGTTAAGGAACTGGTTTGGATGGTTAATTTTTTTTCTCAAAGACAGGAAACTCTATTGAACAGTAATGAAAAGCAATCTTTGTTTTCAGATCACCGTAATGTGGAACTTCCAACACTGCTTCACTTCTCAGCCAAGTATGGCTTAAAAAAGTTAACATCTTTGTTAATGCAGTGCCCTGGAGCCATGCAGGCCTACAGTGTGATGAACAAAGATGGTGATTACCCTAACAAACTGGCCGAGAAGAGTGGCTTCTCCGATTTAAGACAGTTTATGGACGAATATGTTGTGAGTTAATTGCGTAAATGTTCTCGATTACTTCTGTAACTGACAACAAATTGTAGTAAACAAAGTCAACCAATTCCTGAAATGCTGTGGGAACACATAAACATATTAATGCATGTAAAACTAAATATCACAGCATTGTAAAAGTGCTATGTGCAGTTTCATTATGTTATATAACTCTGTTAATAATCAGCACACATTTATACAGCAGTATTTCTATTAGTCTTCATTTCAGTATAGCAGTGATGATGATGCCGATAATAAATGCAAGCTTGCTTTTTTCATAAAACAAAACAGGAGACAGTAGATTTAGTGAAGACCCACATGGAGGAATCTCAGAACACCTCTGGCAGCGAGGATATCTATGAGGACATGTTGACGGCTTCCCAAAATTTCATCACAAATTTCGATAATGAAGACATTTACGAGTCTATGATGAAACTAAATCCTGACATGGGTTTGTGCATGGCATTTTCTTTTGAAACTCTAGGATATATTTCCTTGCACACGAACAGTAGTCATTATTGCATAAATTAAAGCATTTCTTTTATTTTTTCAACTTATGATTATATGTGATAATAAAATGTAAGCATTAAAAGACATGTTTCATAGGCCTAATGTCAGTTGTTTAAGCTATGTACTGCAAACTATTTGCACAAAATTCATGTTTCTACAGATGATGACCTGGAAAGTGCTCTGGAGGACTGTAACTCGGAGACAATGCTGAGAAAGTTTTTTGAAGGTACATCAATGAGGAATGTTGATCATGCCACAACAGTTCTTTGTGTGACTATGTGACTTCTGCAACTTTTTGCCGTGTGATAACACCCTCCATCTTGTCTTTTTTTTATACATACTGTATATACGTCTGTGAAAACTCATTACTTATTAAAAAGCCTGAAAACATATTACTTAGAAATTTCACCTGGTGTACAACATTTTTGCAAAGGCTTACGATATTATTTTCATGTTTGTAATGTAACATACCAGGAAATAGTCCAATTATTAAGCCAACTTGGCTTATTCTGCTAGTATGTATATTTGAACCTCTCTGCCACAGGATGTAGCTTGTTTGCGTAGTGCGTAACCAGAGCAACTTGCTAATGTATGGCATTTATAAAGATGTAAATTGGTGTACAAATGGGTATAAACCATTCTTGGATATTATATATTGTGCAGTTGTCAAATAACATGAATTGTTTTCCTTTAGCACAACCTGACAAGAGTTTACAGTCCTTTGAACATACTTCAACCAATGGTGGATTACCTGAAATGGATGATGCAGATTACCATGACCTTAATGCGGAAATCTATGGGGACGTAGAAGAAGAGGACCCGTATAATCCGTGCTGCCCTGATCAAATTTATGACACGGTGGAGCCACAATCCACCCCAGAAATAATCAACCGCCCACCAGCGCCGATTCCACGACCAGCCAGCCTGCCAGAGCCTGAAGAGAACACAACCTACATTTCCAAAGGTGCAAACCAAAAGTTCATTAAGCAAACACAGCTAAACCACAGTGCAAACATAGAGGCTCTAATTTTAGCTTCTAAAATAAGAAACTGTTGCACCATTTACTCCCTCTTGCATCATTCTAAACTTTATTTTTTCTGTGGAACGCAAAAGAAGATATTTTGAAGAATGTTGGTAAATAAACTGGGAATCAACATGGTTCTCAACATTCTTCAAAATATCTTCTTTTGTGTTTCATGGAAGAAAGAAAATCATGCAGTTTTAGAATGACATGAGGGTGAGTAAATTAATACAGAATTTTCATTTTTGAGAGAACTATGTAAACAGTCTCTGAAAACAGTCCCCTTATAGTAATTTCAGTTCAATTTGACCTGTTTTACAGTTTTTTGTCTCAAGGAACCTGTATACTCACTCAGTCAGCGGCCAGAAAGGGATTCCTCTTTAGGTATAAAAGTTTCCTGAGCCTAATTGCGAACCATATGTGTATATGAACAGAATATGGATTATTCAATTGAAAGTAAATCTAAATTTCCATGCTTGCAGCTCCTGTACGGCTGGTGAGAGACAGAGACATGAGCAGTCACCATGACCCCTTTGCAGGTATGAAGACCCCGGGACAGAGGCAGCTCATCTCTCTGCAAGAGAGGGTGAAGGTGGGTGAGCTGACTGTGGAAGAGGCAGTGCAGGAGTTCAAGGCTTGGCAGTTTGATCAAGATAAAAGATGGCGCTCTCTCCGCTTTCAGCAGGTAAGTAACTCCAGATCAAAAAATTTTTTTTGAGTATCATATTTGATCAGGCTTTTATGGCTCATATAGTTTGATATAGTGAGAATATGGAGCTCATAAGCAAGGAGGGAAAAAAACAGCTCAGTTTTATTCAGAGGCCCAAACTGAGTCAAAATATGCACTTTAATGTAGATGTTATTTTTTATGACCAAAACGTTAGATTAAATTCTGATAGCTTGTAATGTAAGTCAATGAGATCTTTATAACAGATAAAGTACAGTGGACTACATACATAAAATGCATATAAATATCAGTTGTCACTCTATATTTCCCAATAATATGTCTTGTTAAGATTATATTTAAATGCTTAGTTTTATGATCAAAGCTTTTATTGTGGGAGGCAACACATATAATGCAACAATACAATGATAATTGGAAGATACAAATAAATGTTCCTCAAAAACCTAATGTATCATATTTTTAAATTACATTTTAACATTATTTTTCTGTATGGATAATTAAATAAACCTAAGTTGCTTCAGTCCAGCAGGTGTTCATCTTGAAATATTACTAACAATATAAAGTTATTCTTACATTTAGATTTCACAGCAAAATGACTCATGACGTTTGTAAAATAATATTTAAAGACCTTTTACTATTAATAGTAATGCATGTGGTAGATTGTGTACAACAGGTTTTTCAGCAAAGCTTTGATCATGTGGATAATTTAGAGGCCTTGCGTATCAAATACGATGTTAACCCTTCATAGGTTTAACAAATGAAATGAGTGTCTCTGATGTTTCTGTAACACTCTCCGTTTTCTTTAAGGAAAATTTACAAAGATTAAGAGACAGCATTACTCGACGCTGTAGAGGCAAAGGGACAAATGGTAAGGAAACGAAGGACACATTTCATTATACAATATACTCGTAAGTGGTTAACATAGCATGCTATTAGAATGTACAAATCTTTCTGTTTTTCCATTAGAGCTTATGATTACAGCGCCCATGCAAACAAACGTTCAGTGGGGTTCTCAAATGAACGTGAATTGCTCAGTGTACGAACCGGCACCTCGTTCGATTGCCCAACCCCCTCCTGTTAGTAGACCGCTGCAGAGAGGAAGCTGGCAGACAGGAAGCACCTCCAGCACTTCTAGTATGTAATAAATAACTTCTTTAATCTCACACAATAACATCTGATATTACTGTGAACAGAACCATGTTTACAAGTATGGAGTTTTTCTACAATGCAATTGTAAAGGTTTGACCTGTGCAGGTAGTAGCAGTCACAGATTGAGCATTCAGAGTACTGTCAGCAACAGCAGTGGGGTGGAAGGAGAATGTGAGGTCAGTTTTTATTACAGTTTCCACAAAAATATTAAGCAGCACAACTGTTTTCAGCATTACAGGGTTAGTTCACCCAAAAATGAAAATTCTGTCATTAATTACTCACCCTCATGTCGTTCCAAACCCGTAAGACCTCCGTTCATCTTCGGAACACAAATTAAGATATTTTTGATGGAATCTGAGAGCTGTCTGACCCTCCCATAGACAACAAGGGTCCTTACACGATCAAGGTCGAGAAACATAGCAAGGAGATCGGTAAAATAATCCATGTGACATCAGGGGTTCAACCGTCATTTTATGAAGCTACGAGAATACTTTTTTGTGCGCAAAAGAAAAAAAAAAGAGACTTTTAATAACAATTCGTCTTCTCCGTGTCACCCTAGCGCCATTTTGGAGAATATCCACTGAATGTAAACAGCGTGTGCTGTTCTGTGTCAGCTGCGTCACGCGGATACGTTGTTTTCGTTCAATTCAAAGCACAAACAACATAGAAAATGTATCCGCGTGGCGCAGCTGACACAGAACAGCATACGTTGTTTGCGTTCAGTGGATATTCTCCAAAATGGCGCTACAGGGTGACGCTTCAGTCCAGCAGGTGTTCATCTTGAAATATTACTTACAATAAAGTTATTCTTACATTTAGATTTCACAGCAAAATGACTCATGACATTTGTAAAATTATATTTAAAGACCTTTTACTATTAATAGTAATGCATGTGGTAGATGTAGTAATGCATGTGGTAGGAGGAGACGAATTGTTTTTAAAAGTCGTTTTTTTTTTCTCTTTTGCGCACAAAAAATATTCTCGTAGCTTCGTAAAATGACGGTTGAACCCCTGATGTCACATGGATTATTTTACCGATCTCCTTGCTATGTTTGTGGACGTTGATCGTGTAAGGACCCTTGTTGTCTATGCAGGGTCAGAGAGCTCTCAGATTCCTTCAAAAATATCTTAATTTGTGTTCTGAAGATGAACGAAGGTCTTACAGGTTTGGAACGACATGAGGGTGAGTAATTAATGACATATAGTAATTAAATTATTATAGTAAATAAATAGTAATTAATTTTCATTTTTGGGTGAACTATCCCTTTAAGAAATGTTTCTTGAGCAGCAAATCAGCATATTGGAAATGACTTCTGAAGGATCAAGTGACACTGAAGACTTGAATAATTATGCTGAAAATTCAGCTTTGCCATCACAGGAATTCGTTATATTTTAAAATATATTCAAACAGAAAACGTTTTTTTTTTTTAAATTGTAATATTTTTTATGATATTATTGTATTTTTTATCAAATAAATGCAGCCTTAGTGACTTAAGTGACTGCAAACTTTTAAGCTATAATACATTGCACATTAATAGATTATTGCTATACTAAAATATACTGGCACAAAGTATTTAGCTTAGGTTGTTGTATTAGAAATTCATCATATCATATGTCTTTTCTTTAATGGTTTAAGGAGCCTCTGGATATTCCACTTCCTCCGCGGCCTCTCCGGCCCGTAGTGGATACTCCACCGGTACTCCCTCCACCCAGGGTCCCACCACGGGTAATAGAGAGGTACGTGTTTTCTGTCATAGCTTTATTCTGAAGTATATTTCAAACTGTAAGTAAAAATAAATTCAACTGAGAATTATTTTATGCAGTGAGTCTTTAGATTTGAAGTTGTACAGAGTGAACATGTACACAGAGAGTTGTGGCTTAGACTAGTTTTATTTTCGAAAAGTTTCACTGTAAGAATGTACCAGATGACTGGATAAAAGTTTGTAGGTGAAGCGAAGGTGCTTCGTGTATGAAACTCTACACCTCCCCATGTGACAAACCACAGCATCAATTGCTGAACTCTTTAAACCACAACGCCGGAGTTTGTGAAGCTTAACTTTCCATCAGTGACTTGATCATGTGTAGAAGCATCAACCTTTAAATCTCATAAAGACGGAGTGTGGGTTTAGAATGTGCTACATCTTCACCAGCTAATATAAACAAACACAAACATCAGAGGATTGGTGTCGTGTCAGAGAGAGGGGGTGATGAACATCCGCAGTCTGATGTGGGTGCCACATATCCACTGCTAAATCTGGCCTAGTTTATGGGAGCTATGATCAATTTAGAGAAATTTTAGATAATTTTAGAAATTACATTTACAAATATTTTCAAAAAGAAAACAGTCATTTTAAAGGAGACATATTATGCCCCTTTTTACAATATGTAATATAAGTCTCTGGTGTCCCCAGAATGTATCTGTGAAGTTTCAGCTCAAAATACCCCACAGATCATTTATTATATAATTTCGAAAATGCCTATTTTGAGTGGAAGCAGAAACAAGCTGTTTTTCGGTCCTGTCTCTTTAAACGCTCGTTTTCTCAGACGCTTGCAGAAAAAGGCGTATCAAAACAAAGTTACTGGGTTCATCTTTTTCACATTTTCTTGATTGGTAGATGCACCGGGGACCTGATTATAGCACTTAAAACCTGGAAAAGTCAGATTTTCATGATATGTCACCTTTAAATTGTAATAATATTCAATATAACTGTTTACTGTATGTCTAATCAAATAAATACAGTCTTGGTGAGGATTATTTTTCATAAACATTAAAAAATCTTACAGACCCCAAACTTTTAAACAATAGGATTCACTGTTTAATATTCGGGGTTAAAAAAAACCTGTACATATATTGAAATTTATTTATTAGGCTACATAAGTTTAACAGTTGTAACCTATTTCCCTGGTTTGTCTGGAGCTCAGTTTGTATATTACTCATTTTAAATTGAACCTGCTGTCTCTTAGGAATCCAGAGATACTAAACGAGCGATATGTATCAACTCCATCCCGTCCTGTTCATCAGACGCCTGCACAAAGGCCCATGCCGCCTCCACCTATACCGAGACGCACATGGTGACGGCCTGCTTCAACATGGCTGGCTTTCATTCTGTTTGACTCTGCACTTTTCTTGTTGAGCCTTTGAGATCTGTAGTCTCTTCAAGGTGGAACAAAAGGTACTAGTTTTGTCCAAAACTGAAGACAGCTGCTTTGCTGCCCTGTCAGTCAATGACCTTACAGAGGTTTTGTATGAAGGTGCCTCTTAAGGAAACTGGTTTGCCATTTATATTTACCAACTGCCATCTACGTAGCACAGAGTATATTATGCAAACATCAGTTTCAGAAGTCTTGAAGCTATCCTATTTTTCATATACTGCCTGTGGTTTCAGTATCCAGTGTTCCTCAAGGGTTTTGATCTAGACTCAACTTGCAACGCAAACAATCACCTTAGTTTATAGTTATTAAATTATAAATCTTCAGCTGAAGATATGCAATATGTTGGAGGGGTCTTTTCATATGGTCACTTGTTTGCAATATAGCCATTTGGTTTGTGCTCTCTGAGTCCCATCAGTAGCAAATAGCAAACTCAATAATTTGCCTACATTTGTTGTAATCCAAACTTTTTTTCTATTTGAAATATAGATTGTGTTGGCTGGGATTGGTCATGCGATGATGAGATATAAAGCTGAATAGTTTTATGCGTTTTAAAAGTATTTATTGATGTATTCACTTTTTATTGCTGGCTATGATATATCACCCAAAGAGAAGCAGAGAAAGAGAGTATTTAAAAGCATGAAAAGTGTGAATGCACAGTGTGAAAATGGCAGATGTGTGGTTTGTGTGTGTACAGTGTTTGTTTGTGGGTGTGTTCATGTTTGTTAGATCATGAAGACAAAACTGATTAAAGTCATGATTAAATGGATGTAGTCTTTTCTTCCATATTGTCATCCTTTTAAAAAACTTTTTAAAGTTTGCAAGGCCTTGTTTGTTTGTAAAAGCTGGCCTATATAGAGGCCCCCACTATATATAGTATAGTGGAGGTGTTTGAAAAATGCATATATTTACCTAATAAGAATGAATATTTAGCCCACCCAATGTACATGAAACATATTTTATCTTTTGGCTTAGAAAATATGCTCAAAATTCCATTCACAAACTTATTTAATACTCAATCCAGTTGGTATATGTTTGCTACTTGCTTAATAAATTTCATGTTAATGTTAAAATTTATTTTCTCAGATGTTTTTATATGTGCCATTATAATTCAATATAAATAAATACCATACATTAAAAAGAAATAAATATCATTATAATTAAAAGGATTTTATTTTGATGATTTTTTCCTTTTAATTTTTCCTTTGAAAAAAAATCTATATTTACTTTCATTTTTATTTTTTAGCTCATTTGTACAGTAGACTAGTGATTCTCAACTAGGGGTCCTGGGACCACTAGAGGGCCTCAGCAAACTTCCAAGGAGGGCGCAAGATGACTTAAAATATTTTAAACTTACGAAAATTAAAATAACTTGATTATTACCCCAAAACGCTAAAAATGAATATTGTCAACATGTAAACTAGCATAATTTTTATTGTTGTCTTTTTATATCTACTAGGAAGTTATTAACGGAATGTAATATGTGTCATTTAAATGTATTTTCTGTTATTGTCATTGTTGATCATTTAAATATGCACTGAAAATGCACCTTAATTAAAATGAAAGTTTGATTAAACGTCTGCGCCTCTACGGAACGCCCCTCTCCTCCCACTCAGTGATATTGTGATGAGAGCGTGAGAGGCTCCATGCACGGGCGAGCGCGAGCGGCGTGCGGTGACCGTCACTGTTCAGCGTGCAGCAGCGTTATCAATACGGAAACCTGGACTGCTTCCTCAGAAAGGTGGGTATTACGCAACGCCTGCTTCATTTTCAGTCATATTCCCAGTGTTTGAATACTTCAGTGATATTTCACATCAAACTAAAACAGAAAGTTTGCGTGTTTACTTCGTCTGGGGCACTATTATTTGGCCCAGGGTTTATTATAATAAACCACAGCAGCCATCCATTGCAGACAAATGTGCAGTGCAGAAGTGCGGCAGCGTGGCTAAGTGTTTCAGTTACTCAGCATTTGTGTTATTATTATATAGTGCTCATTTTATGAGTGTATTGACGGATGTAAAGGGTGAAACTATGAATTGCAGTGTTTATTGAAAGCACGATGTGTCCGATGAAGGAGATGGGATAGAGATTAGGCTATTTATTCCGCAGGAAAAGAGATCTGACTTCGGCTGCACTTGACATCCAAATAAGGAATAGAATAGGATTCACTCGATATGCACAGGGAGCAAGACAGTGAAACGAGACTTCACGAGTTCAATCCATCGTATTGTTGATGGCTTGAAAAAATGAAACGGGACAATTTAAACAGATCTTAGTGATATAACTGTCTGTAGTTGTACAGCAGTGCGGTGTATGCGGCAGATGTATAGTAGATGAACTATGCAGTGGGACGGTTTTTGGTAGATTTGTAATGGTGCACAGATAAAAGCTTTTCACTCTCAGCCTGAGCTTTTTTTTGATGCTATAACCCACCTACATTTAAATATCTCAAATAATATTCTATTCAATTTCTAAACTCTGTAGACACAGTTAGGTACTGCTTTAACTTTTTTTTCATCTTAAGATGGTTTGTGGAACATGTATAGTCTACCGACTCCAGTGATCTACCAGCTAGCTTTATCATGGTCTGCCAGATCAACCTCAGTCTCACAGGCTGGTAGTTTATCGATCATCTCTAGACCACAAATGACCAGCACAATCAAGCTAGAAACCAAGCAGTTTTCCAGAAATATATATTGTTGGTAACTTACCTTCCAGTTTGCATATAAAAAATAACAGTAAATAACAGTAAACGTATAATGAGGCTGACTTCTCTTCTTTATGCAACATTTGTTTCAATTGCATTGTTTGTTTGTCCCACTTTTGCTGATGTATTTTACTTCTCATAATAAAATGTCCACCACACAGGCAATACATTAACCAAAATTCTAAACCCCCTGGAAGAATTATTTAAAAAAATTCTAATAATTTAAATTGAAGACAAAGCAGTATTCCTAAAATTATAATTATTACATTTTAAAATCGAAGGTTGCTCTTGTTCTTTTAAAATTAGTTAACCTGGTTAAATTTACTTTATCGGAATTGAAAACCAGATGTATAAATTTATTAACATAACTTTTAAACTTAATAACATACTTTTCCTGCTTTAAAATAGCAGGTTTTTCTACAATCATTAACACAGGGCAAAATGTTATAACTATAAGTAGTTCTGTTCTGTTCCTTAATAGCATAATGTAGTTGTAATGCAATTAAAGCGCACTGACAAGAGGATTGTACACTGGTAAAAAAGAAAGAACAGTTTGCACCTTAAAACTCACACCCTGTGAAAATTTGTATCTGTGTTCACAGATGTTTCAGCTCAACACCTGTGCCAGACATACATGATGTTATCATCGTCCTCTGGCACAGGAGATATATAGTATTTCACCAAGAGGAAGTGAACAACATTAAAATCTTAAGTAGGTGAGAGACTGCAACATTGTGAGAAGTTCCTGCCAGCGTCTTTGGAAGCCGTCTCCTTACAAAGATAATGAATAATTTGTGTTGCCTGCCTAATATTTTATAAGCTTTGTGTAGACTCATGTTACTGTCTAGTGTGGTGAACAGGCGCCCAAAAGATTGGTGGTGAAACACTGTTTAAATGACAAACTCATTCATTTAATATTGCTGATCTTATAGGATCATCAGGTTGTTACATATAGATCTATACTATAGGCCATGAGACCTCAGGATTTTTAAGTATTTTTACACCTCTGTAAGCACTGATAAAGCCAAAAAAGTTTTTACAGGTTTGTCAAGTTAGTAAAAGCCTTTTTTGTAGAACTGCAATTATGCCAAGACATGATTTGACTGCTAATAACATGCTATTATCCATTTCTCCTAGTGCCATTTGCTGCCACTTCTCATTTCACTGCAATTGAAACACTTGTTAACCAAAAATTAAGCCTTTAGATTTGTCATTGTATGCCCTTAGGCACGTTCTTTGTTTTGCATATTGCTCAAATTGGATAAAAACAGGCAGGAATTGGTAAGAGAGTGAGGGCAGGCGTATGACAGCAGATGGAATGAAGCACTGGACAGAGGAAGTGCTCTGAGTGAGATTAAAATTGCAGGCTTCCCATTCATGGTGGAGTGTGGAGCTCCTGAGTCACTCACGTCTATAGGATTGAGGGGATTACCATATTAATAGTATCCTCTGTTTTTTTACAAGAGGTTATTTGTACTTTGGCCTAATTATGAGATCATGTGTTATGTTGTCTTTATCAGTTACACAGGTGACTTTTAATGATTCTGGAAATCTCCAGCAAATCAGTGAGTGTAGAATATTGCTGTGGTATTTTACAACTGGTAGCCATTTGCCATTACAAATACGTCACAACATGTTCATATTCATGTCCAGTGTCCACTAATAAATTAAGCTGTTTATTTTATTTGCTTAAAAACAAAGCATCCATTCTGCATTATATAACGATTCGTCCAGCCCTCAATTTTTGATTGGTTGAGCGGCGTTTTAAGAGAGCTGAAATAAAGTAAATCCTACAGCAGTTTTAAAGGGGTCATATCATATGATGCTGCTAAAAAGAACATTATTTTGTGTATTTGGTGTAATGAATTGTGTTTATGCGGTTTAAGGTTAAAAAAACACATTATTTTCCACATACTGTACATTGTTTCTCCTCTATGCCCCGCCTTTTTGAAACACGTCGATTTTTACAAAGCTCATCGGTCTGAAAAGCGAGGTGTGCTCTGATTGGCCAGCTATCCAGTGCGTTGTGATTGGCCGAATACCTCAAGTGTGTGACGGAAATGTTTCGTCCCTTACCATACTGTGACGCTGTGTCCCGGAATGACGAGACAAAAACATTAAAACCCATTACAAAACGAGTTTTAACTTCTATAAAGAATATCTCTTTGGGTTTGAGACTTTAGTCTTTGCAACTTTAGGGATCTTATCTATTCACGAACAGCTTGTAACACTCCAAAGAGAAAGGAAAACTTGAAATCGCATCATATGATCCCTTTAAGTTTATTTTCTTGTATTTATATTACTGTAGTTTTTAATAACCTTGTTTTTCTGTTGTACTTTGTTGGATTAAAAACATAAATTTAGTCAAATCTTTCCAAAGTTTACTTACATGAGTAAAGCTGACTTACATTTATACCAAAGTAATTTTTTTAAATAGACCTATTTCTTTTTTTAAATTGAAGTTTAAAGTGCAACAGAAAAGACACATCTTCAAAGTACATTCAAAACTACAATAATATAAATAAAAGAAAACACACAGCCAGGGAGGTATGCTAATAATTATAGAAATACATTTAAAGTTATATATTTTTTAATTTGAGTGGACATTAGTAAAACCACATAAAATATTTTCCAAACAAGTGAGGTAAAATATTATTATGAATTTATTAGAATCTTTCCAAGTTTCCTTACATGAGTGCAGTGCCAAAATAAATGAAACAATGTTTTGCCAAATGTATCTCAAAAAGAACAGTTCAAGTCTATTCTTTTTAAAATTAACATGAAATTGAAAAATAGGTCAATTACTTTGTTTACCAGTAAATATTAATTTGGTAAAGTCCATATGTCCTTCCAACACTGTGTTTACAAGTTATGACAAGTTGCTTTATTCAGTCAATCGTTTCGTTTGAAAGTTCTGATTTATTCAGGAATGAAAAAAGTGAGTGAGTCATTGAATCATTAACTTCGCTGATTAGTGAAAAAATGCTGAAGAATGAAACACCACTAGTGTGTTGCCGTACACAGACGGTTACACAAAGTATCTGGCATTATTGTGTCTAAAATGTCTGTAAATCTTAACTTAATATTTAACTGTTGTTTAAAAGCAATATCACTCTCATTGAGCATGCACGTTCTTAAGCCGATTATGCTTAATAAGCCGAAAACGCACTTGGTCATGTAAACGCGGTAACCCGTTTTCTTTTATCGGAGTAAGGTCATAAACGGCGTAAGCATAAACCGGTCGCAACAGGTAGTTTTTTGCCTCTTACGACATGTAAACGCAATAACCCGCTTTCTGTCGCCTTATTAAAGGTGACTTATTAAAGTGCGCATGTGTGATACGTGACAGGAACGCATCGTTAGTGCAAATTTAAGCGCATCTAGACCGAGCAAACATCTTGCAGTAAAGAAAGAAGGAAATATATCACAAAAGCAGACTTTTTCATGACTCAGAAAATTATAAAAATGTGTTCTCATCTCGTGCAGCAGAAGTAGAAGTGGTTCAGTCACAATGCTGCGTTTATAACTGCATGAGAGGATAATATATGAGCTGTAAGTTTCCCGACATGTTGACTTGTTGCAAGCTTAATTTAACATCACAACTGACGAATGTATGGAATACTCGGAGTCAGATACGCAAATGATTATATTTTGACGTCACTATAGGGAAATAACCTGATTTATTAATGAAGTCATGTAAACGCAGCTTACTTGCGTTGTCAGGTTACTGATGTATGTAAACAGGGAATTTTTTCTCACAATATTTGTGAGTTATCAGCTTACTGTGCATGTAAATGTGCTCAATATCATGCTATTGGTTTGAATGTCTGCATGTTTTGGTTACCTGCATCCTCAGACAATGATTGAGGCGCCCTTGACAGATCATACACCACATCCACTCCCATCCAAACCATTTCAATGTTACACCATGTTGCTTAGCAACCTTCATCTAACCCCATACTTTCCTTCCACCCAATTGACTGCAGTGTGGCTTTGAGTGGCACTTGAAGTGTGCGCGAGTCTGTATGCTTTGT